GGCGGGGGGACCCCCGGCCCCGCCCGCGGGCTGCTCGGCGCTGGCGCCCAGGCCCATGGCAACCGCCCGGCTCCGGCGCCGGTGCCCCTAACCTGCGCACAGACCCGGTGCCGCCAGCCGGGACTCGCCCTCTAGGCGCTCGATTACCAGCGCCTTGTCACGTGGGCGCCTCGCTACTCCGGCCCCTGACTCTGACGCTCTTAGCAACCGGCGGGCAGCTCCGTCTCCAAGGACGCGCGCGCCTCCGACTTCCGGCTGCGAGAGGCGTGCCCAGGACCCTGACTCGGGAATCCCGCCCCGCGCGGCCCCACCAGACCCGGTCTTGGAGCGGCGAGCCCCCGGAGATGAGCTGCAATGACTCCTCCCTTATGGTGCGTGGCCCAGACGCTACCCGGCCGCTCCCTTTGGGACTTTCCGCCCCTGGACCGGTGACCCCCGCGCCCTGCTGCTCTCCTGCCACCTCTCTGCCTGCTCCTGATGTTCCCTTTACCCGCCTCTGTCCTCGGCGGCTACAGGCTGTCCTGTTTCCTTCTCGGCTCACTCTCTCTAGCGAGTGCATCCTCTCTAGTGCTTTCTGTGCACCCTAAGCCCCAAGTCCGCATCCCTACCCAGTCCTGTCCCCGAGCTCCTCTAAACCAAAGCATCCCAAACCCATCTCCATCATCTTGCTATCATTTCGCCTTCCCCTGCTTGTGCCTCTTCTGTGTCCCCCGCCTCCTTAGATGGCACCACCATTTGATCCCCACCATACTTATCTCTTCCCCATCTCCATCCCCTGATCCTATCAGCAAGAAATGTCAGCTCCTATATATTTCCTGAGGTCGCCCACTTCTTTTTATCTCCTAGCCCAGGATCACCACCATCTCAACCCTGGGCACCAGCAACAGCCCCAATCCCAATGGGGTTTCTCTGCTTCAGCTTTCTTCACTAGCAGCCCCCTCCTACTCCCCTTCCCCCCACCACATCCACAGCCACCAGTGTTTTTTGCAAAAACACGCATCTGAATAATTCTCTCCTCTTGCTTAAAACCATTCCAACTGCTTCCTGTTATCCTCAGGATGATGTTTGGGCCCTTTCATATGGCCCACAAGGCTGGTTACAACCCAACCACATCTATCCCCAACCCCAGCACCCACAAAACATAAGAGGAAGTGAGACTTGCTTTGAAATCTCAGCCCTTGTTACTGCATGACCTTTGTCAAGCCACAGTCTCCATGGCCTTCAGCTCCCTTAACTGGGAAGTAAATGGAGAGGCTAACAGAAGTTCACGGATGTAAAGCCCTGGATATAGTTCCCAGCAGGTGTTAGCCCACAACAACTTGTAACCAACTACTGGTACAATTATTCTTATTATTGGTCCTCTTTCTTTCCCCTTAGTCCCTTCCTAAGATAGCCTAAGTTGAATCCTCCATCACATTTGAATCGGAATCTGTGGATAATTCTGAAACAAACTCCTTTGTCCCTGGGGCTGGTGAAGAACAGGATGAGGCCTGAATGCTCTCCATCTCTTCCCTTTATAGAACTGAGGAGGAACAGGCAATAGGGGAGGGAGCAGGTCAGAACAGAGACAGAGGGCCGTTGCAACTGCGTCTTCCCTCTCACAGGCTAGGATCATTTACTACAGCCAGGAAAAGTACTTTCGCCATGTGCAGCAGGCTGCAGCCATGGGCCTGGAAAAATTCAGCAATGACCCAGTGCTACAGTTCTTTAAAGCCTATGGAGTCTTCAGAGAAGGTAAAGACTTGTCAGCGTTGGCCTCCCGCCCTGGGTACTATCCCAGCACTATGGCAACACCTGGATGCCCACTTCCAGTCATGGAAACAGTCTTACACTCAATGCCTAGATCCCCAGGTTGATCCACAAAAGCCTGTACAGTCCATATCTAGTTGACTTTGAGACCTCAGAGGGCTCACTACTGCTGCTCTGCACCTGAGTTTCTCCATCCGTACAACGAGTGGGTGGAGAAATAACCACATGATTATTGAACTAATTCCAGGTTTGGAAGCTGAGAGCTGGTAGTGCAGGAAAAGGAGAAAGTGGTGGATATGGGTACCGGTAGGTATGGTATAGGAGCAGAGAGAGGAGTGGAGCCCATGCAGCTGCTGACTCACTGACATTCAGAAGGTGGTCTTGGGCTAGGGGCCAGCTGAGCTGCCCGTGGCCAACAGCAGTGGACCTGGAGGAATAAATGTAATTGGTGGCTTTTGAGCAACTAGCTGGAAATGCCGTGAGGTTCTTCAGAACTGACCCCCAGCCAAAAATCTCAGTCTCACGGGAATTCCCGTGAATATTGATGGGTACATCCTCAGCTACAAGCCCTCCAGCCTCTTGCAGCCTGGACCATGGTGACAGCAGCCTTTACAGAGAACTTCGGTCTTCAGGGACCTCAGGCTATTAGGGATCTTTTTGATCAGTTAGTCCTCTGCTTCCCAGGGAAGCCAGGTGGTGTTAAGCCTGTGTCAGCCCTGATAAGCACCCCCATGTCTCTGCCACGGAGCCTCCTGTCCTCCGGGCCTGGAGCCTTAGAGCATAACTATGTGGGCTCCCTTTGCAGAGCGTATCCAGGATGCCATCAACAACTTGGAGAGCATCCGGAATCACCCAGACGTGTCCCTGTGCTCCATCATGGCCCTCATTTATGCTCACAAGTGCTGTGAAACCATCGGTAAGTGCAGCCATGCTCAGCTGGGCCCAGCCCCACCAGAGAAAAAGAGCCCCAGTCGAGAGACACAGCCCCTCAAGGGCTGCATAAGGAGGTATGTGCCCCAGTGATTGCTGGTGCTATTGACTAGTGAGGAGTGGCTGCTGCTCCCCTTCTCCCTGAGGCCTCATTGAGTAGGAGCCACATTGAGTAGGAGCCACGGACAGAGAGTAGGAGCCACAGGCAGAGAGCATGACAGTTGGAGGGGTCCTCCTTCAAGACCTCAAAAGTCAGGGAAATACCCTGCTTTCCTTTGTCAAGATCTTGTCGAAAATAATCAAGCTGATGTAAATAATTCTACTGCTAGTCTCCACTTCTCTAAAGAGATTCCAGAGGCTACGAACTACTGTTTCCCCACCCAGAATGGATTGTGGGCCTGAGGTAGGGGATTCAGATTTGGTTTGTCTACTCAGCAAACTGCTAGGCACAGAGGAGAAAAGATAAATCTCAGACAGCAAGCCCAAGTTCCGGCCTGGGCAGAGCCCGTGGCATTGCAGGAGACAGTGTTGTTGATTTCCAGGCCCCAGGCTGCTGTGTGGTCAGCTCCACGTGTTGAGGAGCCTCAGAGGCAGCCCTCAATGCCCCCTATAGGGCCAGGCAGACCTTCTCACCTTCACTAATCCTCTGCCTTCTCTCTGGGATTCACAGACCAAGAAGCTATTCAGGAGCTGGAGAGCAGCCTGAAGGAGGTTCGCAAAGTGGCCAGCGGAACTGCCCTGTACTATGCCGGCCTCTTCCTCTGGCTTCTAGGCCGCCACGACAAGGCCAAGGAGTACATCGACCGCATGCTGAAAGTCTCCAGCAGCTCCAGAGAGGTACTCGCTTTGCGCATTTGGGCCAAAGAGAGCAATGTCTCAGCACGTCATGGGAGGACGTGGCCATTACCCTCACAGAGGGCCCTTGGGGAGGGCTCAGCCAGACACTGACAAGACCCTGGGTCTCACGGGTGCCCCTACCACGTTGTCTCAGGCTTAGCCCGGTACACGCTGGCATTTGTCCAGAGTCCAAGCTGCAGAGAGCTGTTCTGTGGCCTGCATCCATAGTCCTAATATCTTGATTTTGTTGCTGACATTTAGAAATCACAAGATTTTTACCTAAAAGTCCAGATTTCCTGGTTTTTTTGAAAAACTAGATGAACTGGCTTTGCTGGGCCTGCAGTTCCTCATGGCAGTGATCTGCTAGATAGCAGAGGTGGCTCACACAGTAGATCTCACATATCACGGATCTCACGTGCAGTAATCTGCCCTAATGGCAGAATTTGAAACCTCAGTCCAGGCCATGCATTCTCAGCAGGGGTGAGATCACCCTTTCCCCAAGGGGAGTAAAAATTGGTTCTAGGAGGAGGAGTAAAAAAAATCTCCCTGTTTATGTCTAAAACACAGATATACATATAACACATAGATAGTGTATCTGTGATGGTAACATTTCTTGAAGGGGGAGAGAGTGATTAGGGAAGAACTGCCTAAAAAAGCTCCCTAGGGGAGCATTAATGGAAAATAGTTGAGAAACACTGGTCCAGGCCATAAGAGAAGCATCAGGGCAGGGTCTTCCTAGGGCCCCTTGGATCTCCCCTCCCTGGCCTGGCCCACCCCATCTGCCAGGAGAGGCTGGTGAAGGCTGGGTGAAGGCTGAGGAGAGCCGGCAAGGCCTGGGGGCTCTGAGCTCGGAATGGCTGCTGCTCACCCAGAGGGCATTCCAGCTTCCCGTGCAGGGCAGGCCCTGCTGGTCTAAGGAGTGAGGAAAACAGCAGTGGCCCTGCTCTGGTGCCCCGTGTTGGCCTCCTGAGCCCAGTAAACAGGCAATGACAAGGCACCTCGGTAAAGGGTAGAACTGTGGGGGTCACGGGAAGGGCCCAACCCCAGCCTGCAAGGTCAAGGACAGCCTCCTAGGCTGAGTTTTAAAGACTAGCAGTAGTTAATCACGGGAAAGGATTTGGTCTGAGGGGTGGTGTGCTGGGAAGGCGTTCCAGGCAAAGGAACAATCATGCGAAGGCCTGGCAGTGAGAGAGAGCAGGGCTGCCCTGGGGCCTGCAAGCAGTTTACCTGGCAGGGACTGAGGGTGTGGAGTGACAAAGGGTGACAGGAGGCAGGAGAGGCAGTCTGGCTTGAGGCTATGCAGGACCATGGACTTCATCTCTCATCTGTTCCTATCCCAGGGCTATGTCCTGAGAGGCTGGGTGGACCTCACCTCAGACAAGCCCCACACTGTGAAGAAATCCATCAAGTACCTGGAAC